GTTGTCCCAGACTCCGAATGTTTGGATGCTGGTTTTAATTATCAGAGGACCTCGTTTTAAATTGTTTAGTAATTGTTTTGAGTTCAATAATTCATGCCAACTTCCAGCGCCAGTTTATTTTAGTTTGCGCTCTGTGGTCCCTGCCAGACTAAGGCGTTCCCTAGTAATTAATGATCCCCATATTTAGAAAATCAAATTTTACTTTTTAATTTTCTTAGAGGGCGCTTCCTGCACTTTTTGGTTGGTCAAAACTGTTCCCTAGAAATAATAATTATATGCAAATGCAAGATTTGCCGCCTCTCCAAGGCGCAGTTGAAAATAAGATTTCGGAATGTGAAGTACAAATCTTGTGTGTATTTTTATTTATTAAGTTTCGGCACAGGATACCATTGTTCAGTAAGTTTATATTTTTGTTTTTTATTTGCCTTTCGTCCGGGGAAAATTATTGTTTAAATTAATTTTTGTTCATAAATTATTACAATTTATTATTGTTAACGGTAAATACATTAACAATTTTAGGGTTAAGAATAGATAAGACTGTATCCTAGTTTAAAATTTTGATGTAAAGTAAATAATCTGTAATTCTATCAATTAATAAATTTACTAGCAGCAGGATTCCCACAGTATTGTTAAGTATGAAATTATATATGTGATTTGTTTATTTGTAGGTATGTATGCATTCTTTGTATGTTGTTTAATTGTTATTAATGGGAAGTATAACTGTTTAACTTTCAGATAACCGCTGTATACGCTATATACGTATCTACGCTATATACGTTAGAGGCACACTATATACTCCTTAGACTATGTGTTGTTTCTGGAATAAAAGTGGAAAATTATAGCGCGTGAATTGCATCTTTTTGTTGCCCAAACTTAGTGGAAAGCTGCCCATTACGACTGATGTCGTAGTTGTCTTTTGTTAATTTGGCTGAACAGTTTGAAGTGAACAACCCGTATTAACGTTGTTCTCTCCTCAGCCACCCACGTAATCTACACTTGTGTTCTTACAGTTATTGAACAGTATAGCTTTCCTACGTTGTTGAACACCGTGTTATCCTTACACCAGTACTTGTGCAAATTATGCAGTACCTTACCAGTACCCAGTACTAGATTTTGAGCTCGGCGGCGTACCAGTACTTTTTTTTTTTTGGTGAAGTCAATTACAGTAATCAGTACATTACTTTATATATATCTTCAAAGTTTGAATAAATACAGTGTCAAACAAATAATTGCAAATATTATTCAGCAAAGAAATAAAATCATAATTTACTTTAAAGCTGCATGCCTCCAGATGACCCAAAATATTTCAAGAAAATTACACTTGAAAAAACCATACTAAAACTTTGAGAAAAGTAAACAAATTAAAGATTCAAGTGATAATATATATCTTATGTGCAATTAATGACTTATTATGTAGTATTTATCACCATATTTCTTCTGCGTTACTAACGCAGTAGTGGCTATTTATGCATGTTTTGACCTCTTTTAGGTAATTTACGTGGATATTAAGTGCCGATTGTAATGTGCCAAGTATTTTCTTTTGTTCATTATAAACAATATTTTTACCTTTAAATACATTTTCAAAATTTTCATGAAAATAAGGATGAATTGGAGGCCGTGCTGCTTTAAAGTTAACATAACATATTTTACAACTTTATAGTTTTTAACATACTTTTTACAAACAATATTTACAACATATATTCATGTCATATCTAATTGTTTAGTAACCAGTGAACTGTTAATAAATACAATGCAAACAATCTTTCATTTAAAACACAACAGTCCTTTTGTTGCCTTTCACACCTTCACACCTCTGTTCAATTTTATACCAAAGTAAAACAACTTTTTATGGTGCTAAACAATATCCCTTTTTTCACTTGACATGGGAATTTTTTTTAGAATAGAAGAAAATAATTAGTGTTTATTTTGCTTTTCTTTTACTAGTTAAATACAAAGTAATAAAAGATTTTAATAAGGATATTTTAGGGTAAAAAGAGTTATTGAGTCTGGTTATTCTTAATTTATTTTTACTTAAAGTCTTTGGTGCTTTTTATGATGAATACTATGTTAACATTTGAAAAATATTGCAGCAAATTATCTTAGATTTTATAACTTACTTTTTTCACAAAAATAAAATATAGTTATTGTAATTTACAGCTTAATTTTAGGAGAAAAATTGATGTTATTTTTAATTTTATCAAAACCCAAAAGTACTGGTAATGCAGTAGCAGTACCACTTTTTAGACGGGGTAATGCAGTACCAGTACCAAGTAGTAGCAAAATTTTGGTAAGAGTAATTCAGTATCAGTACCAGTACTTGCAAAATCACTGCAGTACATACTGCAGTACCAGTACCAGTAATGCAGCTCTGGTTGTATCAGAAAATGAAGAAGATTTTAACCGTTTGTACATGGCTTCGTCTTAATCGTCGGTATGAATGGAGACAGGCTATTAATATATTATTATCTAAATAACACCTATATTTGTAATAAAGAATCAATTTCTTCAAATTTACAAAATCGGATAATAAATGATACGCCAAGTGTAGGTATTAATTTTTCACCCCGAAATTTACTCCGGGTTTTCGTCGTATTTTATTTCCATAAAAAACGTCGGTCTTTGCGAAGAAGGTGTTAAAATTTTTTAAAAATCTAAAAGATATTTGAAATAAAAATCCATTTTTTTTAACAAAAATTTCAAAAATTCCCCAAATCGGTGAAAAAAATGATACAAAAACAAGACTTTTTTTTTACTGTATAATTTCGAAAAAAATTTAAATGGAAAATTCCCCGGGTTTTTCTCGCTTTTTTAAATTTCTTAATTGTGGGTTTTGGGACAGACGGAAATATTAAATTTTAGGGCCAAACTCCTATAAACTAAAATTTTTTGATGGGTTTTTCCTGTTCGGGGTGTCAGGGGGCGACAAGTTTTTTAAATTTCGTTTTTTTAATAGGTTTACTACCTTTTAATATAAATCCGTGTTTTAAAATATCTTTTCAAAACCTTAAAAAATTCTTTTAAACCGGTTTTTTAAAGGTATGTTTGAAACATCCCAACAAAGAAAGGTGACTTAATAAAGCTCCTTTAAAAAAGTTGTTTTTCTTATACAATTCTGTGTAGTTGCTGTAGAAAAGCAAACTGTTCATCATACTTCTACAAAAACCGACACATGTTAAACAGTCCAATGTCACATAATAATTATCCATCATTAAAATCTTGCCAATTATCTACCAGGTGCATTCTCTTCTTAGAGATACGCAAACCACAACAAAACCTGTACAGCACAATGTGAAGTCCTCGAGTGGCGTATCTATCCGCCTGTCAATTACATATACACTTCAAGTTCAATGAGCACGAAATAATTGTGCTAAACTATGACACAACTAAATTAACGTACATATATAACTCTTAAACTGCAATAAAAAAATCAGTTGCAGCCTCAAAAATAAGCCGACAGCTTGACAAATCTATTGTGACTGGTAGTGAACCATGAAGAATAACATGTATAACCCGACGGGTTCCCGGGAAAAAACCCACTTTTTGCCAATTTCCCGGAAAAAACCACCTAAATAGAAATATTTTTTAAAAATTAAATCCCCAATTTAATTGTAAATTCAATTTTGAAATTGGTAAAAATTTTTGTAAAAAACCCCAAAAATAAAATTCTAAATTTAAAAATCCTAAAACCCAAAATTTTTTTCATGGTTTTTTTTTCATAAATACGATGCTTAAATTAAGATTTTTTAAATATTTTTTAATTTTCCAATTTAAGAATTCTAATTTAAAAAGGGATATTCCCCAATTTTAAAAAATTTCTGTAAAAAAAAAGGGGGTAATTAAAAATTTTAATTTTCTTAAATTTAAGTAAAATTTTTCCCAAAAATTAGAATAAATGATGAATTTTATTAAATTAAAAATTTAAAATGTGCAAAAAATATTTCCCTTTTTACACCATTTTACATATTTTTTCAATTTTTGAAATTGTTTTATTTTGCAAAATTTTTTTATACAATATAAAAATTTTTTTCCCAAGTGGGGGAAATACACACAGTAACATTATCAATCACAAAACATACAGGATCTTTAATAGTTAATAATAAATAAATAATTTTATTTACTATTGCTGCACAAACAATTGGACAAAGTGATAGTTAATTTAGTAGCACCAACACCAATACACTTTTTTACTAAAATGCCCTGCATTCACCATTTAATAAAATATATAACTAATATCAAATATCTGATCCAAGGCACTTACTGGTAAATATAGTTCAATAAATACAAAGTAAACATTAAAGTAACATTATACCCATCAATGTGTAAAAAGATGAATGCACAGGTGAAAATCAATATAATTTTACATTTTGCAAATATTGTGTTCAGTTTTATATTTTACCTTGCAAAATACTCAATAATCCATGTGATCCTTATTACTGTTTTGGAATGCATCAGTAACATTCAATTTTAAACAAGAGCACCGCTAGGCGGAGCATTATATGCACGAAAGTGTTTTTTTTTTAGTAAGGATGAAGCATTTGTAAGACATAGGAATTAGTTGTTCATCCTATAAAATTTTACAGCTGTAGGTTGATTAATACTTAAGTTATAAATGACTTAGCCTTTGACCTTGTGAGTTAATTTAGTAGCACCAACACCAATACACTTTTTTACTAAAATGCCCTGCATTCACCATTTAATAAAATATATAACTAATATAAAAATATACTGATTCCAAGGCACTTACTGGTTAAATATAGTTCAATAAATACAAAGTTAAAACATTAAAAGTAACATTAATAGCACCATCAATGTGTAAAAAAGCATGAATGCAACAGGTGAAAATCAATTATAAAATTTTACAATTTGCCAATATTGTGTTAAGTTTTTATAATTTTACCTTGCCAAAAATACTCAATAATCACCATGTGATCCTTATTACTTGTTTTGGAATGCATCAGTAACATTCAATTTTAAACAAGCAGCACCGCTAGGCGGAGCATTATATGCACGAAAGTGTTTTTTTTTTAGTAAGGATGAAGCATTTGTAAGACATAGGAATGAGTTGTTCATCCTATAAAATTTTACAGCGGTTGATTAATACTTAAGTTATAAATGACTTAGCCTTTGACCTTGTGACCCAAAATCAATAGGGGTCTTCTCTCCAATATGCACAATCATACTATGAAGTTTGAATATTGTGGGCAAAATGGAACTTAAGTTATGCTCTTGAAACTGTTTTTTGTTTTAAGGTAATTGTGACCTTGACCTTTGACCTAGTGACCCCAAAATCAATAGGGGTCTTTTGCCCAATATGGACAATCATCCTATGAAGTTTGAATATTGTGGGCCAAATGGAACTTAATTTATGCTTCGGAAACTGTTTTCAGTATTAAGGTAATATTGACCTTGACCTTTGACCTTTTGACCCCAAAATCAATAGGGGTCTTCAACCCAATATGGACAATCATCCTATGAAGTTTGAACATTGTGGGCCAAATGGAACTTAAGTTATGCTCAGGAAACCAAATTGCTAACAGACGGACGGATGGACAGACAGATGGACGCCAGGGGGTATAACATAATATGCCCTTTCGGGCATATAAAAAGAGTGGGCCAGTCTTTTCATAATTTAGGTAGTTTTTATATTTTATCAGTAACATTTACATTATCAATTAATTGGTAAATCACCATTATAATAGGGAATCTCTTGAAATATATTACTAATTCAAATTGCTCGACAGCGAAAAAATGAGCATGTCACTTTAACAATATATCACTGATAAGACACATCTTAGTTTTTTAAGCTTTTTCTGTTAAGACTTCTTCATTTGCTTTAAAATCTTTTCTTATAGCGTTGTCATCTTCAGGGATATCATTAGAACCACTTTCAGTTTGTAGACTTATATCCAAGGCACTATCATTATCAGACATTGGTAATAAAACTTCTTCTTTTGATGTGTCAGTGTCTCCACTTATATCTAATATTACACTATCATTTTTAGGTATAATATCTTGTGTAACTTCATGAGATAATTCACTTTTTTCACTCAAATCTATGGCACTATCATTATAACTATTTATGTCATTTCCACTTGATCTATCATCTGATAAATTTTTATCTTCTGACAGAGCCTTTAAATCTTTCTTATTATTAACTGTTATAATATCAACTGATTCTACATTTATACTCTCTGTTTCAGGATAAGTCTTTGCTTCATCATTCAGGTCTGGATCTGTCTTAATGCCATCAGATATTTCAACTGTGGTATTTGGACAATATTCTGCCAGTTTATTGTCTGGTATTTTAGCTAGAATAAAAATAAAACACACAATGTATATTTATTTTGCTTTAAAACATAAACAAACATAAAATCAAATAAACACAGAATTAAAGCAACATTATAAAAACAGTAATATATCCAGTTTCTGCAACATCTTTCAAATATGTCTACTTAATAATGGTGCATTGTAACACTTATAAAATATTTCAAATGTTCCATATCTGAGTATGTAGTGTTGTCCAATTTTATTGATCTGTCAATAATTCATACATGAAAGTGCTCAATTGACTGTTTAAAAAAACCTTTGGTAGTTAATGTGGACATGTTATGAGAATTAAAAGCAAATTTAAACAAATATTTTAAAAAGTTATGCTACTATAACTACCATACACAGATTTTCTCATTTTACAATGTATAAGGATCCAATCAGCCTCAATGTAACAAACATTAGGTTTCAAATTATTGCCTATGACTGCTGCACTGTAACACCGTAATTCTATTATGTCAAACTTTTAAAGCAGCACACCTCCAGATTCATCCTAATTTTCATAAAAATTTAAAAATGTATTTAAAGGTAAAATATTGTGAAATGAACAAAGAAAGTACTTGACACATTACAATCGGCACTTAAAATCCACGTGAATTACCAACAAGAGATCAAAATATGCATAAATAGCTCCTACTGCGTTAGTAACGCAGTAGAAATATGGTGATAAATACTACAATAAACAGTCATTAATTGCACATAAGATATAAATTATCACATGAATCTTTAATTTGTTTACTTTTCTAAAAGTTTTAGTATGGTTTTTCCAAGTTTAATTTTCTTGAAATATTTTGGGTCATCTGGAGTCATGCAGCTTTAATATAAATAGTATTATACTTACCAATGGACACAATCATAAAAACAATCAAAGATATAATAACATGTATAGACTAATAGGATGCGCTGACCATGTAATCAGTACATGTATGCAATAGACTCACCCAGGAATTAAGAATAGTTGGGTTTTTCCCAGCAAATCTGTTGGTACAAACTTTTACAGTACAGCTTCGAAAATAACCGCAAAAGGTTGACTGATCTAATGTGATGGGTAGTGCACTGTGAAGCTATGACGGTAAAAGTTTGTTTGTACCTATGGAATAGATGAGAAAAACCCACATTTGCCAAGTTACACACAATATCTATTGGCTGGTGAATAAAATTGTACAATAAAAAATTAACACTGTTTTCACTTAAATGCACAGAATTCAATTGGCAACAAATCCAATTTTAATGTACTTATCATTACATGTATATACTTACCAAACTGGACTTTATGCTCAACCTGATAATATCCTAGTTTATCTTTTGGTTTCATCATGGCACACAGTTGTAGTGTGTGGATACTCTCACATCCAAAGTTAGTGTCTATAAATTCACTGTACAATTTCTCATCTATCTTCTTCAGACCTAGAAAAAACAATACTTTTGTCTATTTAAATTATTCTTAAATGGTACTTTTGTCATCATTAAGACCAAAATTATATCCTTACTCTTTATATAATCATCTGAAATAGATCTTTCTTTTGCAAATAAAGTAATTGAAAACTTTTGACACAAAAACATGTCTCAAATGTTTGACCTCTGAAAGCCTTACAAGCTTAATATGGATGGACAGACGGATGAACAGGGAAGGCAAAAACAATTTTAATGCTATCTTATCATATATACCTAATTCTTGTCTATTTTGAGTTTAATTTAATATAAATTTCAAAAAGTACCTAAGAACTGTTCATTTGATGGTTTTGCTAATATTAAAACAATACTTGATATCACTTGGGATGTCTGCAGTAAAAACTTTATTATGTCTTTCTTACAAAACTAGACCAACCTTATAAGCTTTATCCTGTCTACCCAATATTTATATTACCTTTAATTCCTACATGTCTTACAAAAGTTAGAATGAGGTACAGTTCTAGGTTGTCTGTGATGCATTCCAGGGTATTTTCCAAAATAGTCAATCAACCAATTTACCGGAATTTCTTATATACATACATATTGTCAATTTAAATATTTCAGAAAAATACATAAAATTGCAGCAGGCTGTTTAAATTTTTGACATTTTCAAATTACCTTATTGTGAAATCAGGGAATATATTATATATGTCCCTGGTAAATATATTATAAGATGTTTTTTTTTTTAAAAGATCCATGGTTAAATCAACTCTGGATCATCAACACTTCCCATTACTGCATCAGATACCACTAATAGTTCAGAGTCTACATTAAAAATATGACTTTGTTATGAATTCATAGCTGTTATATTTGTGTATTTTATTTTCATTGGAATGTAAAAGAAATAAGTAAGTCTGCATGAGGCTAATATTTCACTAGATAAAGAGTAAGACTCGGCTTGACAGGTATGTTGGAAGTTTTCAACAAACCAGCTTAATAAAAAGTTAAATCTATACGCACCTTTTTTTTTAGAGCCTTTGACACTAGACAATTTCATAATAGTGATGTGTGGTTTAAATCCTCTTTGATCAGGGGAGATAATATCCTGTTCTAGGAAACTTTCTTCCACAATTTCAGCAACATTTTTCAAAGTAGAGACTTGGTGGTCATGTTTAACCTTAGCAAATACCACATTGTTTCTAAAATTTCCAAGGCCACAAACATCTAATGTCAATGAAACGTCTGTGTAAAATGACAGAAGCTTTTCTGAGGCTTTCTCTAAGGCTTGCCTTGATCTGAAATCAGCACATTTATATATACATGTACATGTATGTAAGACAAGAAAGAAAAGGCATCACTTATCACTGATTTAATTACCTCTGCTATTAATTAACCTTTTCACCACCACAATTTGTATATATGGTAATGCAAATCCCACTGCGAAATTAACTCCAAAGAATTCCTGTAAATCTGGTAGTTTTTATGAAATTCTGTATATTTTTGTTTATTTTGTGCTATGATATCTGCTTAAAATTTGAAATAACTACATGAATAAAAACATACACAGAAAAAATATTTTATAGTAAATTAAAAGTTTAAATAAAAAATTGATTAATCACCTAGAAAAAGTTGTATTCTTGTGAACATGGCAGTCTATACTGCAGTTGCCATTATGCACCAAATGCAGTGACATTGTTAAATATTCATAATTTTCAAAAATCTACTTTATCTTTATTTATGCATTTATATACTACATGTAGTTTAAGATCTTGTGTTGATCGATGAAATTGTTATTTGTAAGTAAACCATCTTCAAAAGATGTAAGAGCTAAGTAAAATAACCACACCAAATATAGTATCTGTACAAGCTTCAGACATAATCATGGCTTTTCTATAATTTCCATAATTAATCATAGCAAAACAAATTTCAGGTATTGTGTAAAGGGCAAAAATACTGATTAGGTATTAAATATATCAAATATATCTTTTTTTTTACATCCAAGTATTATGAATTCAATGTTTATAGAATGTTTTAAGATGTGCTAACATTTTGCTATTTCATTTCAACACTGTTATAACATGTTCTTTCGTCCTTTACACGCAAAATATCTTAAATAGACTTGACCATCTTTCTTTTGGGACTAAACCATTTATCATTTAACTATTTTAAGGATAAATTTCTTAATAACTACTGACTGAAAAGAAAACAGTACAGATCATTACAGAACAGTAGAGACAGGCCGGCCTGATCTTGATTTGTACTGGTCGCATGGGTAGAATCTGTTACCACCAGCAGGCTAATAGTTCATCCTCGATTAATATAGAGTCACCGTACCAGTGCTCAACCAGTTTTTCACAAAATCACATAAAAACTCTTTCAGAACAAAAAGTTTGCTGGGAAACTTATTTTTGTTACAAAGCTGGCCCTTTCTAACTCACAATAAGCTAAAGCTTTTTAATTACACAGATCAGGATACAATTTACCACAGAGTTGTATATAGGGTATAAAACCACTATATTTTTCAGGCAACCAAACCAGTGCTCGACCAGGTGGTTTTATCTCTATCAGATT